AGCTCTTTTTGTGGTGGCAAAGGATTAGAAATTGAGGGGATATCTATCAATTGGGGAACAAGTTATAGTATATGATTGTGATAGAATATTATTGTGCTATAAGAAATGATGAACAGGATGCTTTCAGAAAAACTTGGAAAAATTTATGTGGAACAATGCAAAGTGAAATGAACAGAACCAGGAGAACATTGTATACATTGACTGCAATATTATATAATGATCAGCTGTGAATGACAGTTGTTCTCAGCAATCCAGTGATCCAAGACAATTTGGAAGGATTTATGAAAAATGCTGTCCATCTACAGAGAAAGAACTGATGGAATCTGAGTGCAGATTGAAGTATACTTTTAAAACTTTCTTTATTTTTGTGTTTTCTTTGACAACATGATTCATATGGAAATGTTTTGCATGACTGCACATGTTTAATCTATGTAAAATTGCTAGCCTTCTCAATAAGGGGAGAGGGGAAGGAGATAATTTGGAATTTCAAATTAAAAAATTAATGTTAAAATTATTTTTATATATAATTGGAAAAAATAAAATATTTAAACTAGTAAAAATAAATCTATAGGTTAAGTGAAAACAAGTTAAATATCTATAACTAGAAAACCATTTGGAAGAAATTATCACACTAATTCATTTAGTAAATGAAAACTAAAAGATTTTGATATGGTTCTCTTATTTGTTTGTTGAGGTTATGAAATATTTATTATAACCAAAATGTAATCCAAGTAATTGGTGAGATGGTGTGGTATGATGAAAAGAGTACTTGCTTTGAATTACAAAATCATAGAATCAGAGAGTTTGAGAATTGGAAGGGACCATAGCAACCATCTAGTCTAACCCATACATGAAAAGAATCCCTATTCTAATATACAGCCTTTGTTTGAATACTTCTGAGGACAGGGAAGCCAGCACTTCTTGATGTAGCCCATTTCAATTTTGTACAGCTTTAATTGTTAGAAAGTTTTTCTTGACATCAGGTTTAAACTGGACTCTTGCGGCTTCTATTTATTGCTTCTAATTCTGCCTTTTGGGACCAAATGGAATAATTCTAATCCCTTTCCCCATGATAGCCTTTCATATACTTTTTTTTCTTGATTAAAACAGCTAAATCTTCTGTAGGTTAATCATGCCCATTTCTTTCAACTGATATTTATATGAAATGGATTTAAGGCCCTTCACTATCTTGGTTGTCTTCCTCTAGATCTTCTTTAGCTAACGTCCTTCTTAAACTATGGTATCTCACTTGAGCACAGTATATCTGATGAGCTCTGCTGAGGACAGGGTACAGTGGGATTATTGATATTTTCCCCTTGTACTTGTATAGGTGATTTTTTGTAAAGTATAAGATTTTACATTTATCCCAATTGAATTTCATTTTATTAGAGTCAACTTCATATTTTACTGTTTCAAGAACCTTTTGGTTCCTGATTCTATGATCTAGTGGGTTGGCTATACTTCTCAGTTTTGTGTCATCTACAAATTTGATGAGCGTACTTTTTATGCCTTTATCCATACTGTTGAAGAAAATGTCAACTAGCACAGAGCAAGTACAACTCCCTGGGGGTTGTGTACTAGAGACCTGCCATGTTAACATTGAACCATTAACAGCTATTCTTTTTTTTTTGTTTTTGTTTTTTTGGCTAGGCAATGGGGTTAAGTGACTTGCCCAGGGTCACACAGCTAGTAAGTGTTATGTGTCTGAGACCAGATTTGAACTCAGGTCCTCCTGAATCCAGGGCTGGTGCTCTATCCACTGTGCCACCTAGCTGCCCCAACAGCTATTCTTTGAATGCAACCATCCAACCAGTTCTGAATATGTCTGTTTATATTATCATTTAATCTAAATCCTTCTATCTTGTCATCATTCTCCTCACCTATTACTTGGGGGATTAGAGGTGGGGGATGGACCTGTGATTTCATTGATATAGCAATCCACAATACTGGGCACGTTGTAGTTGCTTAATAAATGTTGATTGATTAAAGATGAGGAAACTCTCTCTACCAGTGCAGTTGGCAACTACTTTTCAACTTACAGTTTTAGATAGTTGTCTAGAGAGTTTAAGAGACTTGTCAAGGGTTACATACTCAGTATGTATTAGGATCAGAGCTGAACCCAGGTCTTCTTGGGCTGCAAGACCAGCTTTCTGCCTACTACACCAAGCTGTCTTTTTTCTTAGTTTAGTAATTCCAACAAAAAAGGATATGAAGTTAGTTTAGCATGTACTGTTACTGATAAAGTCATGCTGGCTTTGTAATCACTGTTTCCCTGTCTAAATGTTCACCAATCATCTCTGTAATGACCCATTCTGGAATTTTTATAGAATTGAAGTCAAGTTCACAGGCCTATTGTTTATAGACTGTTTTCTTTTTCCCCTTTTCTGATCTTGTAGTGGTTTTCCTGTTTTCCATGGTCTTTCTAATATTATTGACAGTGGTCAGCAAACTTAAATGCCAGATATTTCAGTGCCCAACCATGTAGTTCATCTGAATCAGGAATGAATTCATTCCTACAGCTGGTGCCAAGTGGAACCTTTTCCCCTTTCTACTCAATGGGATTGCTTAGAGGGCCTATGCTGAAACGGGGATTGCCTTTCTCCTTCTCTGCGTCATTTCTCACCTCTAATCTTCTCGCTTTTCCCTTACTTGGCCAGATATTGACTTTCCCATTCCGACTCCTGCCCAAAGACACCCAGAATCTCTATTCTGCTGTGACCCATAGGTCCACTCTCCAGTGCCCAGTGATGAGAGGAAGATACCTTGATGCATCTTACAGACTCATGTACTCATGGAGCTTTTAATCCTTCCTGCAACCATCTCCTTAGGACCTGCTAGTATTTCCATCCTTTTTGCAGTATCGTCTCTTACGTATATCATCTTTCCCAATTACACTGTGAGCATTCCCGGAGAAAGAGGACAGTCATCTTTTTTTTTTTTTAATCCCTTGTGCTTAACACTGTACCTGGCACATAGTAAACACTTAATAAATGCTTTTTCATTCATTCTCATTTATTTATCTAGGGCAGCTAGGTGCCCTCTTGCTGCTTTTTTACTTATCTGGGTATTAGTTGCTTGTTAGTCATTTCTGTTCTGTCATTCCTATTGCAAAAGTCATTCTCCTTGGCAGGGGAAGCAGAAACAACATAAGAGTGGAGTAGCTTTGCTTTCTCTTTGTTGTCAGTTATCATAGCCCCATCTGCTCCAAACAGACATCTCATACCTTCTTTGGTGCTCTTCTTTCTCTCAAAATAGCTCAACCCCCCCAAAACAACCAAACCAAACAATTCTTTTCTATCATCCTTGGCTTCCTTCTCCAGCCTCAACTCATTTCCAAACTTTTGCATTCCTGACACTTTTTACAAGACTAGGTCATACTCATCTTGTTATTTGGCCTTGCAACTTCTGTATGATTTTTGCTTAAATCTAAGTTGGTTGGTGTATTCACTGAGTATCCATATCAGTCTTTTCATAAAAATCATATTTTTCTTTCTCACCGGAATTGTTTCCTTTTGTATTTCAGAATTTTGTTCTTGAACATCTCTCCCTCCTGAGACTACACGGGCTTATACCTTTCTTTCCTCTCACCCTTTTGATATCTACTTTCCAAAATCTGTAGTGCATGTCTTACTATGCCTGAATTTCCTCTCCTCTGTCACAAAATCTAAAAGAGTGGTCATTTCCCTCTAGGATTCCCATCATTTTTCACCCTAGAAACTCATTTCTACCTCTTAGTGAAAATCAGATCCAAAATTAAATTATCCCTTTTTCTTTCACCTCTGAAGGATGAAATTCTTCAATGAGGACCTGGATTCGTGTCCTAATTCTGTTCCTTTACTCCCTGTGTAACCTTATGCAGAATACTTCACCTTTTTGACCCTCAGTTTCTTCCTTTGTTAGGTGGGGTTGGACTAATCATAGTTTCCCAAAGTGGGTGATACCACCTCCTGGGAGGTGCTGGAACAGTGGTTGTGGTGGTAGTAGCCTCAGAGGCAATTGGGGAGAATTGAATGAAAATAAGGAGGCGGTGGAAACATAAGGGAAGAAGAGAAGAAAATTTTGAAAAACCATTTGTACATGTTTCATCTGTTATGTAACAATTAAAATTGTAGTGATTACATTATTTTCCAGATAAACACACAAAATGCACGTTATAACGATCAGTGGTGAAGTCCACCAACAAGTCTTAACAAGCAAGTGTTGGCAGGCAAGTGTGCTGCACGTTGTCAGGAAGTCCAGCAGGCAGCAGCAGGAATATGTGCATGTAATGACTTGTTTACGATATGATACTTTATAGTTACAAGATGCAATATTATGTCATCAAAATTTCAATGCAGGAAAAAACCCACAAATTTACAATAAACTATGAAATTTAAGATGTGTCATTAAAAAAATTTTTTTTGAAATGATGCAAATTTGAAAAAAAGAACTGTTAAAGGGGTTAAAAAAAGTAGATTTCCAGAGGGTGCTAAGTAATTTTTTTTTTGAAAAGGGGGCAGTAGGCCAAATAAGTTTGGGAACCTCTGGACTATATGATTTGTGAAGACTTCTAGATCTGAATTCCGTGAGCTATTAATAAAGATATAGCTTTAATATGACTGTTACCAGTAATGGACTCACAGAATCATAATACAATGATAACTGATTATTTAATTTTTAACAAAAACTCACAATTTTCTAAGTTTCATTAGCAGATTCACTGCTTCAGACTTATTGATAATAAAGGAAAACTTTTTGCTCAAGCTTTGTTATGGTAAAAAGCTTTTTGATCAGACTAGTATATGTTAAGAAGCTTTTTGGTTTTGCCTAAGTTTCTTCTTAACTTTTATCTTTTATTGTTTATTTCATATTTAAACCCCAACTTCCTTAAAAATAAAAGAGTGAAAATTTAGGACTGGAGTTTTCTGCATATTTTTATAGTTCCCATTGTTATGGATTTATGAAGTTATTTTGGTGCCACATATAAACTGTTAAATAATTTCGTGCATATTTTTCAACAGATGTGAATTATTGAAAGGAAAATGGCACAACGAAGCACTGTACTTCCTTCTCTTGTCACCGAGGAAAGGTATAATATATGAAAAATATGAATTTCAGGGACTTAATCTTTTTAATACAAATACTGCTTTTCTTCTATAATAATCCTGCATAATTTTATAATATGGGTATTTAACCTATGGTTATTTAACCACAAATAGCTTTGTTGAAGGGCAAGAGAATTATCGTTTACTCTCCTCCAAAGTTCTGCTCTGTAATATATAATATCAGAAGATCGTGAGCTGTTTTCCCTAAGGCTAGAGGGGTAACCTTCATTTTTGTACTTTTAAAAGGATAGAGATAGAAGGATAGAAGAGGCAGTTGCCATAGATTTTTGCTCTTGGAAATTCTGCCTAATTTCTTGACCCACCCAGCCCACCGGGGAAACAGTTGAATCCCCACTGTGAAGGTAAAGTCTATAGATATTGAGGGGTAGGGTAAGATGGAAAATTTTCCTACCTAGTCATAGTAGCTCTGTGTGCCCCAAAGGTTAGAGGATTATGTTTGACTCACAATTATGTTTGACCAGATATTAATATATTGGTTTGCCTCTTGCTCTATTATTCAGGTAGTATGCTAGCTGCTGTATAGTCTTGGGGGAAAAAAATTAGGAGGAAGAACGAAGAAAGCCCTGCCCCATACCCCTTTTGTGCATAATGCTTACATGCTTATTTTTACTTTATGGAATATGTAGAATCATTCATGGTTTTTTCCTATGTTAGCAATACACATGAAATTATTACCTTTTGTAGGCGAGTTAGAACCATGCCACGACATAGCCAGTCTTTGAGTGTGGCTCCATATTCATCTGCAAGCCTAGTGGACCAGTTGGAAGATAGAATTCTGTGCCATGAGAAAACAACTGCAGCACTCGTGGAACATGCTTTTCGTATAAAAGATGACATTGTTAACAGTTTGCAGAAAATGCAAAATAAAGGTGGAGGAGATCGCTTGGCTAGACTGTTCTTAGAAGAGCACATCAGAAATATCACGGCAATAGTGAAACAACTTAATCGTGATATTGAGGTAAGATTTTTTTAAGCCAAGACATTATGCTTGGTTGTTGATGTTGCAGTTATTTATTCTTGAAGGCTACATATCTTTTATTTTTTTTGGTGAGGCAATTGGGGTTAAGTGACTTGCCCAAGATCACACAGCTAGTAAGTGTCAAGTATCTGGTCTGAGACCAGATTTGAACTCAGGTCCTCCTGACTCCAGGGCCGGTGCTCTATCCACTGTGCCATCTAGCTGCCCCTACATGTAATTTTTTACTTCTTTTTCTCCCTTATTTCCTATATCCATTCACTTGCTAAGTCTCTCGTGTCCTCACAATGTGTCTTGTATCCATTGTCTCTTTTCATTCCTATCACCATCATTACCACCTCTGGCCATCATTACATCTTGCCTTGAGTATTTAAGCAACTCCATTGCTTAAAACTCTTTAATGATTCTCTGTTTCATATCAGATAAAGCTCAAACTCCTCTGCCTGACATTTAGAGTCCTTCGCAAACTAGTACCAGCCTTTGAAACCTTATCCTACAGGGGTGGGGAACACATGTGGCCCTCTAGGTCCTCAAGCGTGGCCCTTTGACAGAATCCAAACTTCACAGAACAAATCCCCTTAATAAAAGGATTTGTTCTGTAAAACTTGGACTCAGTCAAAAGGCTGCACCCAAGGACCTAGAGGGCCACATGTAGCCTCGAGGCTGCAGGTTCCCCACCCCTGTCTTACACTATACTCTTTTACATACTCTGTGTTTCAGCCAAATTGGACCACTCACTATTCCATGAGTATATCCTATGTTTTCCTAATACCATGCCTCTACTTCACCTGTGTTCTATGTATGTATTTCCCTATTCCCAATTTCTACCTGTTGAAATCTTATTCATCCTTCAAGACCCTTCTGTAATCCTTTTGGTTGAGAAATGATTTTTCTTTCTGCAGTTGGAAATGATTTTCCTTTTAGAACTTAAAACTGTCATAATGCTTTTGTCATACTCCAGTTTGCGTTTTAGCTCTTTGCATACAAGTCTTTTCTAGTAGGTTGTATGCTGCTTGTGGGAGAGAGCCTTTACTTCAGTGCTTTGCACATAGTGGGCACTTTAAAAATGTCACATTTAAAAATTTGATTATTTAATATCAGTATAATTATTAAACCGTAGAGCTGGAAGAAATTTCAAGAGATTTTATAGATAATACTGAGCCTAAACTATCCCAAATAAATATTTTTCTATCATTTTCCTAATGATTCCCAGGAAAACAATTTTTTTTTTTGGCAGTTGGGGTTAAGTGACTTGCCCAGGGTCACACAGCTAATGAGTGTCAAGTGTTTGGTCTGAGGCTGGATTTGAACTCAGGTCCTCCTAACTTCAGGGCTGGTGCTCTATCCACTGCACCACCTAGCAAAAAGCAGCTTTCACAGCTACTCTTGTATTCATGATTGTATTTGGTAATAAAGTCATATATTTAAATTTGTAAGGGACTTTAGGAGTCATCTTTTCATTTTATGGATGAAGGAATTGAAGCCTAGAGAAGGTAAATGTGTTTTTGAGAGTCACATAGGAAATTGCCAGACTAAGATTTGAAACGCAGATCCTCCAGCTGCAGATCCAGGGCACTTTTCACTGTCCCGTGCCTGTAATATTTGCCACTGTCAGTGATATTCATGGATAATCCAAATTTCCCTTGTATCTCTTAAATCAGCTTCTATTTTTGGTCATGGAGAAAAACCAAATAGTTTTCTCTATAAAAACTTCACATGTATTGAGCCATTTATCACCTTTCCTTTCATCAGATTAAGTAGTGTCACTTTTCTTAATCCTTTATCATAAATATTATTTTCCAGCTTTTGCTCATTTTTAGTACTTTATTTAGACTCTCTTCTAATTTTTCCCAATTTCTCTTAAATAAACACAATAAAACCTGACATTGGCTTTTTATAATCAATAAGTATTCATGAAATAACTACTGTATGCAAGGCACTGATCAAGGCAGTGCAAAGCATGGGACCATTGCTATTCTTAAGAAACAAACTCGTTTGGAAAATATTTGATAACTAAAGATTTATAGGTACCAAATGCTAATATGATGTTAAAATACTCTGTATATAATTGTCAAATATCTGAATAAAAGGTATAAAGAAAATGTTCTTAATTACAAATATCATATACTTAGAATTCTTTCCAGAAGGTCTTTTATTTTCTATTCGACCAGACTTAATTGATAGTGCAAATTAAAATTCTCTGTGCATGTAAGTTATGATATTAATTTATCACAAGTAATACCAGCTTTCATTAATCTTTTGAATTTACTACACTGCAATCAGCAGCTAAGTTAATTGACCTCTAGGTTTTGAAAAGGTCTCCCGTCCTTTGTTTCGTATGTCACTTAAAGAAAAAGACTGCTTGCTGTTTATTTGTGAGACAGAAACAGAAAAATAAACTTGGGAAAATTTCAAGTGATTAAAAAGTGGTTTTTATATTTAGAATTTCCTTTCCTTTTAAGTTTCAGATTTGAGGCTTAAGCCTTTTTGATCCAAAAGGAAGAAGAACCAGGCAGCTGCAGCAACCCCAGTTCACTGCTTACATCCCCTTATAGGGTTGGAGGTACATTTGGGTGCTGATTGTTGTTTGTATCCAAAAGCCAAGAGAGGTAGGAAGCATGAGATATAGTTGGTTGGGGACAAAGGAGTGAGTACTGATAAGCCCTCACTACCCCATCACCAAAACAATGATAAGCAGCTGACTACTCCCTTTTGACTCTGTGAATCACAAGAAAATGTGGCACGTCCTCAAAGTAATGAGAGTACCAGATCATCTTACTTATTTCCTGAGGAACCTGTATGCAGATCAAGAAGCAACAGTTAGAACTGAACATGGAACAACTAATTGGTTTAAGATTGGGAAAGGAGTATGACAAGATTGTACGTTGTTAGCTACATCATGTGAAATGCCAGGCTAGATGAATAAAAAGCTGGAATTAAGGTTGCCAGGAGAAATATCAACAATCTCAGATATGCAGATGATACCACTCTGATGACAGAAAGTGAAGAAGAATTAAGAAGCCTCTTGATGAGGGTGAAAGAGTAGAATGTAAAAACTGCCTCAAAGCTTAATATTAAAAAAAACTAAGATCATGGCAACTGGTCCCATCACTTCCTCTCAACTAGAAGAAGAAATGGAAATGGTATCAGATTTTATATTCTTGGACTCAATTACTTGATGAGTATATATATATATATATCCATATGTATGTATAATCCAAGATTACTTCAGACGGCAACTTCAGCCATGAAATTAAAAGATGTTTGCTCTTTATAAAAACAGTGATGGCAAATCTGGACAGCATACTAAAAAGCAGAGATGTCACCTTGCTGATAAAGGTCCACATAGTCAAAGCTATGGTTTTTCCAGTAATAATGTGTGACTGAGAGTTGGACTATTAGGAAAGCTGAGCTCCACAGAATTGACACTTTTAAATTGTGGTGCTGGAGAAGACTTTTGAAAATCCTTTGGACAGTAGGGAGATCAAATCAGTCAATACTTTAAGAAATTAATTTAGACTACTCATGGGAAGGACAAATACTGAAGCTGAAGCTTAAATACTTTGATGACATAATGAGAAGACAAGACTCTTCGGAAAAGACCCTGATGTTGGGAAAGTTTGAAGGCAAAAGGAGAAGGTGATGGCAGAGGATGAGATGGATAGATAGTGTCATGGAAGCAACAAACATGAGCTTAGATAGACTTCAGGAGATAGTGGAGGATAGAAGGGCCTGGTGCTATGGTCCATGGGATTATGAGGAGTTGTACATGACCGAATGAATGAGCAAGAATAACTCTTTTTATTTAATAATATAATACAAATGATAACCCAAGAAACTTAGTGCTTCCCATTCCCTGAACTCCTGCTACAACAGTCAACATGAAGAAATTAGCCATGTACTACTCTGTGGTACTTTTGGGAGAAATGTCAAATTTGATTAATATATAATTTTGTATATTTTATATACATTGTCTAATAAATGGAATGGGGCCTATGAATATATTTGCCATAAAGGATATTCTTATTCAACAAAATTTGTTGTATTCTCATCAATAATCAGTCATTGGGGCTGTGAAAGCTGCATAGATATTGTGACATAAAACTGGATATCATACTGTAATACCATATATTAAAATAGAATTCTACCTTAAGAGTGAAAGTCTACTATACCAAGTTGGTCTATAAAGTGAGTCTTAATCTCTTCTCTTGACACTCAGGTTTCCACCATATTTTGTTAATTTAAGGGTCAGTCAACCAACATTTATTAAACCCTTGCTATGTTCAAGGTACTGTGCTAAGTGTTGAGGATACAAATACAAGTAGAAGGATGGAGTCCCTGCCCTCCAGGAGCTCACATTTGAATGGGGAAAACAAATAAAATGAAGCCAAAAAGGGAGAGGGAACACAGGTACTTGGTGTTGGGATATGATGAAGGAAGTTTGTAGTACAGCCTGGAGAGGAATGAGACATAGCTGGCCTGGGCTCTTTCCTTAAATGAAGGTTCTGGAAGGAGCCATTTAGTCAGAGGGTGAGGCCATAGGGGCAAGGGTATTTCCAATGTGTGAATTACATGGCTGGAGTGAGGTATGAAGAACTGGGGCATAATGGAGGAAGTCTGGAGTTGGAGAGGAATGAGTGGAAAAAATTATAGCCTCTAACAATTGATCTTGAGACCTAGAGTCATTCTTTCTCTGAATGTGACAGAGGAAAACTTTTTGTAGAATCATTAGTCTTGGGAATTTTCTGAACTCTCTCTCTCTCTCTCTCTCTGTCATGGCTATATATGTTTTGTAGCATTTGTTGGAAGTTTTTGACATTCTGATTTGTGATTTTTTTTTGCCTTGGCCATTCATATATATTTTCATTGTCCCTATTTCAGCTCTACCTCCCATATCTCTTATTAGATAGAAAGGATAGGAGTATGTTCAATTGTCTAGTCTACTTTAAATTTGGAGCTGTCCAGAAAAAGCTTTGTGTAAA